AGTTTCTTAGCTGAGCAAACTACTGTTTTACACATCAAACGTTGTCAAAACAACATAATGAAGTCCTTATAAAAAAAGTCCTTATAAATGCTTTGTGACAAGATATGACACACTACTAACCTGTTTTGTGCAGGAGAAGCCTCACGCAGCCCTACTAGCGCTCACCAAAGTGGACACTCCCTCTTGTGGCACAACTGGGAAATTGCACTTTTAAAACTACTACTCCCATGTCTTGTAAAGATTCATTAACATTTGACCTTTTCACTGGCTAATACACAAAACATTTTAACAGTTGTGACTATACATTTGTAGGCGTCACAGAAACATTTTGAATGAATTTAAAGGAGTAAATATGTTGATTACACCAGAATACAATGAAAACAATACAATTAATGTTACATAATTACATTCATCCTGAGTTTTATATCGGAGGTGAGAAGATATTAAAGTCTGTTATTTACTTGCTAATTAAAGAAAATGTAAAGAACAAGATATTAGAATCAGAGTGAGTTTTATTATAAGAAGGTTTTCAATACAAGGAATTTGCCTTGTTATCTTTGTACATAATAAACATAAAGTGCTAAAAACTATAAATAAAGGAAACACGGACTTCAAGTCAAAAAGCACAAAAATAAAAATATTATAAAGAGAAAAATAAATAATACGTGCAATATGACTGTTATATATATTTTTATTTTAGCTCTTTGGTTGTTTGAACTTCTTTAATGCAGGACGAGGCTGTTTATCAGAGGTTCTGTGAATATAGTTTGTGTTCAGGTCTTCAAAGTCAAATCAAACAAAAATGCTGAGATATGTCTACTGTATTTATTTTCTAAAGTTTTCTAACACCCCATAAAACCAAGAAGGCCTCCCGACCTACTAAATAACTAAAGAATACATAATACAGACAGAGAATTGTATAAAAGGTTCCCTAAAATATCAGGAAAACTGGCCCAGGCCCACAGTGGGACGTTGTGGGGAGTGAAATTATGTGTATAAATCATTTTCCAGCGTGAAAGCACTTGTTGGTGGAAGGCAGAGAGTTTAACAGGCAGTTTAGATATCACAAAATCACATTTTAGCAAGAACTCGATGCCACCCAATTTCTTAAACACAAGTGAAGATAAAGAGAACCAAATGTCTTGACCATTCTTAAGAAAAGATTGCAGCCATTTAACCTTTACTACTCCATTCATAATTTCCAAATCTATAGCTTTTATCCCACCTGCTTCATAGCCTTTAAGCAAATTTCCTTTCCTGATGTAATGATGCTTATTTCTCCAAATAAAGTTAAAATTGAATTTATTAATATCCTTTACGACTTTGGGAGATATAGCTAAAGAGTATGCAGGGTAGATCAACCGAGATATAGTTTCTGTTTTAGTTAGCAGAGTTCTACCAAACAGGGTCATGTCTCTCTGCAACCACAGGTTCAGTGTTTTCTTACATTTATCAACAGTATCTTGAATGGTCTTTTTCTCTCTGGTATCAGGGCATCTGGTTATCCAAATTTCGAGGTATCGAGTGTCTTTTTTAACAGGTATATTATATAATGAAGTGTCCGAGCAGTTGTGGATGCTCATGAGTTCACATTTGTGGAGGTTCAACCGGAGGCCTGAAGCTTTAGAGAACAGCTCAATTGTTTTTAAGGCCAAAGGAACTTGTTCTTTATTTTTCAAGAACAATGTTGTGTCATCAGCTAGCTGACTCATTACTACTTCTTGACCATTTATGTTTAAACCCTCGATATTGGATTTTTTTATAATAATGGTTAATAATTCAGTAACTGTAATAAACAGAAGAGGTGAAATACTACATCCCTGCCTTATGCCTCTTCCTACTCTGAACCTGGGGCATGTACCTTCTGGGAGGGAAACACAGCTGTTGATATCTGTGTGCAACATAATAATCATATCTAAAAACTTACTGCCAAATCCAAAGTGCTTCAGTGTATCAAAGATAAATGTATGTTCAACAGAGTCGAATGCTTTATAGAAATCCAAAAATAGCATAAAACCATCATCCTCTATTAAATCACCATAATCAATGAGGTCCTGAACCAAGCGGATGTTGTTGTGGATGGATCTTCCTCTGAGGAATCCTGATTGACTTGGGCTAATAATCTTTGATATGCCTGATTTTAATCTAGCTGCCAACACTGAAGTGAGAATTTTATAATCTGTATTTAAAAGAGTGATAGGTCTTAAGTTGCCCAGGTGTCTCTTATCTTTCCCAGGTTTATGTATTCATTTTATTACGCCCTGTTTCATCGTTGTCATTAATTCTTTGTTATTTATACATTCATTTAAAGCCTTCAGTAGCAGTGATTTGATGTCTTCCCAGAAATGTTTGTAGAAGTTGGCTGTTATTCCATCTGGGCCTGGTGCACGATCAAATGCTATTTTTTTGACGATACAGTCAAATTCACCCATTCTTAAATCCTCCTCACAAATTTCCTTAAAATTATCATCAATTACTGGAATCTCCTCCTTCATTTTTTCAAAAAATAGCTTAGCATTTCGTTCAGAGTATGAAGATGTATAAAGTTTGCTGTAGAAATTGAGAACCTCTTTTGTGATTAGATTTGTTTCTGTGCATTCTTTCCCCTCTATTATGAGGCTGCAGATTGCATCTTTCTCTTGTCTACGTTTTTCTAAATTACAGAAATAAGAAGTATTTTTTTCTCCATCCTCAATCCACTTGGCTCTGGATCTTATGTATGCTCCCTGTGCTCTATTTAAGTAAAGTTCATCAAACTGCGATTGGAGGATGCTGATCCTTTCTTTATCTTCTGCACTCCAGTTTAACTTGCTATAATATGAGAATAGTTCTTTGACCAAATTAGTTGCATTTGCTTTTCTTTCCCCTTCTATTTTTTTGCTGAAATAAATTGAGTAGTTTCTAATTGTAAACTTTAAATATTCCCATTTCTGTATTGAAGTAGCCAGTGTGTCATCCTTTTGGATATCTAAGATTATCTTCTTTATATTGTTACAATAAACCTTATTTGTTAACAACCTTGCATTAAATTTCCAATAACCTTTGGATTTAGTAGACATATTGTTTTTAGTTAGACTCAAATTAATTATACAATGATCACTCAAGGGGCTATTTGAAATATTTGTTCCTGCTGCATGTTTTAAGATTGAGTTTGATGTCAACCAGTAATCAATTCTTGATTTGGCCTGTCCGTTAGGCTTAAACCAAGTAAAACACCTCCTTTCCTTATTAAGTGTTCTCCAGATATCTATCAAGTTATTATTGTTGATGAAGTCGCCTATAATCTGATTATTATGTTCTGATGAGTCCTAGATGGCCACCTATCCATCCACTCATCAGGAGTTAGATTGAACCTCCAACCAGTAAATAATCTTTAGTTCCTTAACAACTGCATTGTTATACCCATAAACATTAACCAAAATAATGAGCATATTATCTACCGTCAGTACACAAGCTACCCAATGACCATCACTCAACACGTGTCCAAGTGTGGCGCGAAAATCAAAAGCATAAACCGACTGTTTGTAATGACGTCAGAGAGTTTTGCCGCCTTGTAGTTTAAATGAATCAGAGACAAACTACAAACATCGTGATTCAACCTACAAAACTCAGAAATTCCCCGACACAAAGTACATATAAGTAATGTTTTATCTCGTGTTTATCACAAACGTTACTGACCTTCTGAAGTTTGTAGTTTGAAGACAATAAATCCAAATGTCAGGAGTAGTTGACTTCTGCATTACATCCGTAGTGGTTTAGCACTACCATAGAGAATGAATGGGAAACGGTCTGATGAAGGTGTGTTTGGTAAAAATTGTGCTTTTTCTCTGCTCTGTCTCCCTTTTTTACCACACGCACTCTTCCCAATATGAATGCACACACAGCACAAATCCTCTCACTCAAGGATAACTCCATTTCTTAACATCATCTGCCTTATACAAAACAACTACATACATTGATGATGTACACCTTCATAGAGGGAACATCAGCCAACACCCAGTAGATACATGTTACCTTGTGCTTCTCACATATGTCAGAATCATCAGAGTAAAGTAGAATTGAAAGTGTTAATTTGCACTGTTGTAAGGTTTTAACTGAATATTTAAAAAAGCACCTTCTTCTTGTCATGTGATATGGCCTTTTATTGTTCTTTATGTATCTTGGGGAGAAAACTAAAGAAATGCAGTGTATACTGTAATTACAATGATATTTTTATTTCATTTTTTTCCAAACGTTTTCAACAGAGCAAGAGCATATCAATGGGAATATGCATGTGTTTCTCATTAATGCCATGTTATATTTTTGGCTGCTGCTTCACTTTGAATGCATGTTACACAGTTGAATTGTACATTTCAACTTTAATGTTAATGTTAGTGATTCATTGGTGTTAATAACAAAATAAAACATTTCATTATATATTGTATTTCAGTTGCTGCTTTGTGGTAAAAGTATATGCATAGAGAAAATGATTACATTGATTTGGTCAAATTCATCAAAACAAAATAACATTTACATAATTGTAGTGAATAATATATCTGCAGACATAGAAGGAATTTAAAAGGTCAAACAGAATAAATGTAATAAAATGTACCTATTGACTTCATCACAGTAAATATCACTGATATATAAGATTTACTTTATATTTTTATGACAGCAATGTCTCGTATATGAAAATATATAATTGACTTTACTCAGTTAAACTAAATATAACTTGTAATGTAGAAATAATTAAACAACATTTACTTTATATTTTTACTAAAGTTTAGTTGAGTGGTGAGTAAATTTGACTTGATACTGGCAACTGAGTTGTACTTGATATTTCAGCAGTAATATTTACTTAAACATTGTTACAGAGATTATATTAAGTAAATCTTACCAGTTGTTTTTTTCAGTGTCCTTTCCCCCCTTTTCCTTTGCATGGACAGGGAGGGACACACTGGAGATGGCCAAGGCCATCTGGCATCTACTTTTCTCCACCAAAAACCTGAGGTGGACCACACTGCACAGACCCTCCTGACAGTGGACAATATTATACAAGTGTCTGATGTGATGAGAGCACTGTGTCCACCATTCACTGAGGAGGAGCATGGAGAGGAGGAAACCAACCAGCTTCCTGATGGAATCTACTTTCTCTTCCTTCCTCCCCTGCAGGTCCAAGGGCTGTATGAGGCAGAGCAGAGGGGGAAAGAGAGGGCAAGGACATGAAGAAAGGATGCTCCTCGGTTGTACACCGCTCTGCATTCATGGTAAGCTTTTCAGTTTCTATTTCACCTTTCATTTAGAGTTTTATTTGGTGGTGCACTGCCTCATCTCTTGTGTGTGGAGTTTCATCCAAGGAGCTGTGACTGTTCCTTCCTGAGCGTGCAGCACGGGAAGGTACGCCGGGTCACCTCACTTTCCTCTCTCAACCAATAACACAACATATTCTGACTGTCAATCCCCAACAAACAGCCACCCTCCTCAGAGTCCTCTGAGAGTGTGAACGCACGCACAAACCCTAACCGTCCTGTATCAGCAAACCACAGAGCCACTAACACCCACGTTGTTCTTTTATTTTCTGACAAATGTCTGTCTTTACTCTTCTGTTCTGTACACATTCTTTCTGTCTTTGTCCTGTTGTTCTGTATTTTGTTTCTTGTGTTAAAAATAATAAAAGAAAACTCAAGAACATCCTCAGAATTTAGATCAGGCCAATGTTGTTGTCTCACTAGAGTCGCAGAACTATTTACAGAACAAGGTTTTTTTTAATAAAAGTTGCTATATTTTCTTAAATACAGACACATTTTACACGTTTGATACTTATTAAAAGTAAATTATCTGTTCTCATGTCAGCCGAGCACTCCCTCAGCCCTACTGCACAGCTTTGCACTGAACCGTGCTCCAGCATTCTTTAAACACAGTTGGTTCCTCCTAGACCGGCTCCACTGGAAGAACCACATTGGTCAGCAATGTATTCCTGTTACTTCTAATGCATAAAAGAGATGCTGTACTTTTACTGTGTGCTGGTTGAAGTGTTGCATAATGCTGACAGCGATCTGCAGCACGCTATCATCAACAGCCAGCTGGCAGAGCAGTTTAATGCTCATTTGAAAGGAATCAGGCACCTCCTGCCCAAGTCTAATATTTATGCTGTCAAATGCCTCATTTCTGACTTGTTGTCGTCATACATGAGTTATCTTATGAAAGGATGTCAGATGTGTTTTTACAGGTTACACAAAGCAGTTCTGTTGTGTCAAATCACACATTTGGGATTCATTGTGGTTGTTATTAAGTTCACAAACCATGGTTACAGTGAGAGATACAAACTATGATGATTCAGTCTATCTAACCTGCTGCCACTCCCCGAGTGTCTCTCTCCCTCTCTCTAACTGTATGTGTGTGTGATTGCCTGAGTGCAGACAGGTTCCAGCTTCCAGTCCAACCCTCAGCCCCAGGTTCACACCCACCAGCCCAAGCTTGCCCAGGTCTGCACTCCCTCTCCCCCTCTTTTCAATAAACACTAGTTTCCTATTAAGTCCCTGTCTCCTGGAGTGTCTGCATGTGTGTTCACGAGCTCAGTCTCAACACAAACTGGTTAGGGGATGAAAAGGTGAGAAGGAGGCGTGAGCTGAGAAAATATAAAGCGGCAAGGGGGTATACTCTGGAGATTCTTTATTTTAGTTTAAAATAAGCTGCTGAATACTGATAACACAGTTACAATATTCAACAAGTGAAGTAGAAAGTCTTAATTCATGAGATCAAGATTAGTATTTTTGTGTCCACTATGGTTTGAGATGTGTCACTCTGTTCTCCACTGCAGTATAATAAGAATACCTTACAATAAACTCAAAGGTACATTTAAATGCTGATCCAGGATCAGTGTCATTACCCCAAACTTAATATTTACTGACATTAGAGAACACTTTAATTCAGTCCTGTAGCTCACACATGCCAAGACGTTTGTACAAAACATAACAAACTTGTGTTTTCAGCTGTGTTTGCTCTGCTGCTCTTCCAGTGCGTGCTCCTTCCAACGCCGCACACAAACTTACACACTACTAACTTCCAGCTAGCCCATCCGTGTTCACGCAGCACCACAGTGGAAGCAAAGCAGAGCAAACAAAGCCAAAACACAATTTTGTTCCGTTTTTCAAAACATCTAGGAATGTGTAAGCTGCAGGACACTTGGATTACTTCAGATGAGCAATATGGAGACATTTTTTGGATGTTTGAAGCCAAGTTGCCGTTCAATGCAGTTTTGTGAGAAACAAACATCTCGGCAAACTCCCAGAAGAGCATGATGAGTCCTTCTATCGGCATCGGGGTGAGTAGACGATGACAGAAATTTCATCTTAGGGTGGCTAAAATGGGTTTGAGGTAGCTTGTTAAAGGCACAAGGACAAGTTCAGGAACTGTTTGCATAGAGCATACGTAGCCTATCGTTTGGAGAGGTTTTTTAACCTTAAACTCTGGAAAACATTTGACATGCTGGTGCATCTTAAAAGACATGCTTACTATTCCTTTTTATCTTAAAGAACAGTGTTTTGCTCTGAGGTTCTAAACGTCTGTTTCTGTATCATGAGTAATATCCTACAAAAAGCAGAGCATCTTGACACTAAAAAGTGCGATATTTGGCCCCTCGCTCTTTTCATGCCCACACTCACATCGGTGACCCATTAAAAATGGCCCCACGAGCCACCAGTTGAGAACCTCTGGTTTAACTTGAAAATGCTGATCTAACTTCTTTTCTTTTGTCCCCAAAACGTAGCCACTCCACATGGCCACATACAGTATTTAATACAGTGCAACAAGTTCAAATAAAAATGACATCATTAAAACGAGAGAAAAATAAGAAAATAGACAAAGAGCCACATTAACAACTGTGCCGTATACATGTGCACTCAGACTCAAGTTTGTTTCGCAGAGACAGGATTTTCGGGGACAGCTTAAGGACATCAAGCTCTAGAAGAAGCTTTTGAAAAACTTCCAAAGTGTACTTTGTTTTTGGGGGGTAACTCAAATTCATGGCATAAATGATGCTCATGAGCAGGAGACAGGCCTTTGTAACACTTCCATAGTTGTCAAGTACCTCAGTCCCTTCAATAACAATGGACACATCAGTGTCGGATGCACCTTCATCTTCTTCACTTGTGTGGAAGACACAGATCCTCAGGACTTGCTCAGCCTGGTCCTCTTGAACTTCCTCTCTGCTGATATCCTGTAAAATATATGTGAATCCATGTTCAGGTGCATAGTACATATTCTGCTTCATTTTCATTTGGAATAGTATGTATATTCTGTGATGATGGTAAACCTCTTACAACTTATGAATTGCAAAGCACTACACAATTTTGTTTTTACCTGAATAGCCAGATGGCTTTTCTTGTGACACAGCTTGCTGTAGTTGCTGTTTGAGATGGCACTGTGTCAACTGTACAAAGTTGTTGCTTTGGGCTTAAGGACAAAAACACAAAGACAAAATAATACATTAAAACTACAGAATACTACAAGAAATACTACATTAAAACTAGAGGATCATGTAACCAAAATGAACTGTACCACTGTCAAACCAATGTATTTTGGATAATATTTGAAAATATGGCTCTGATCTAAAACATTACACCCATTTCCACATGTGTTAAATCTTAAATGAAGAAAATCCTGCATTTTTGCCGCTGTGATTCTGTTCCTCTCCTCCAAGAGCATTGCTGGTCTAGATTCACGTTGTTGAGAGAGAGCTGTGTCATATGCATCAAGAATAATGCAGAATCCAAATTGAAACAGTGTAAACGGAATCAGAATAGAGAACAATGAGGCTTCATATCAAATTATGAGCAAAATATAGACGAGGGGATTAGAAAGAAAGGGATCCAAACAAGGTGATGGTCCTTATGAAGCATGTGGAAGAAAATGATCACAGGAAATGTTTTTGGATAGATCATTTGAATTTTTTCCAATTTCCACAAATGAATCTGAATTTCAGATACTTAAGGCTCATCAGTAGCTCTATAACAACTCAAAAAGATGGAAAGTGCATCATTTCTACAAGTGGTGGTTCTTTTAGTTGAAATAAGACACAAAGTATTTTCATATATGGAATAAAAATATACAGCCACAGTAAGAAACAAATCTGAAATGCCAATAAATGAAATCATATTTATCCTGATAAACTGAGTGACATTTTGTGGGAATGAACATCTCTCCTGACCTCTGTTTGCTCTGTCTCAGTAAGATTTTAGATTTGTGGCAAACTACGAGTACACTGCAAATGAACAAAAACCATAGCTTCCTCTTTAGCTTAAATAATGATTAGCAGCAGGGTTTTGGTGAGGTCTGGTAGAGGCTCTCCAAACCGACGCTGCGGATATTTGAAACGTTTTCTCTCCTCCCTTCCCCTCCTATGTGTAGCGGTTGTGTACTCTGTCGTTGCCTTGAGTTCATTATGCGAAGGAAACTCATCATTTTGGCAAACCCGCCATTTATCCACAGCATCTAGCCAACTATTAATTATACAGTCAGTCCCGGTTTCAAAACACTATTACAAACACTATTAAAACTTACTTGGTATTTCTAAGTTCATGGGCAATGACTATGAAACCTTTGAATATTATGTGAAAATACACAATAAAACTTACTCTTCCCACACTCTTTATTTATTACATGAAAGACATATATAGTTTTACTTGAATAATTCCAGTTCTCACTGATACTTACAATTAGAAAATAACAATTGTGACAGTTAACCTAATAAATATTACTACACCAAAAAATGTATGGCTGAACAGACACAGGAAGGAGCGCCACCTAAACACACTCAAACATTTACAGGACAACTAATGAGAAGATGTCAAAGTACCGCCCACAATGTTTGATTGACAGCTGATCTCTGTGCAGTGAAGAAACGCCACAACAATCAGCTCTCAGCAACAAACATGAAGACAAAATCAGTTTAAGGATTCAAACTCAGAGTTTAACACAAAGTCCCTGAAATGACTTCTGTCTATTTCAGTTTATAGAACTCAGCAGTGGATTCAAGATAAAGACAAAGTCCAGCATAGAGAGGCTGAGTGAATGTGGTCTGGACTCTGTGGAGGAGAGTCATGGTTTCAGAGACGCTGTAGAAGGACAGAATACCTGCACTGTGATCCAGATACACTCCAACTCTGGAGGACCGAGGACCTGAGACAGGAGTTTTGACATTGTTGTACCAAAAGTTATAACTGTTATTGTTACAATATAATGACCAAGATTTGTTATTGCGTCCAAATAAACATTCATATGAGATCCCTGCTCTGCTGATATTCTTGTATGCGACTGCTACATAAACTCCTCCCCCTCTCCTCTCCACCTCCCAGTAACAACGTCCAGTCAGACTCTCTCTACTCAGGACCTGAACACATCCAGTGAATCTGTCTGGGTGACTAGAATAAGACTGATGTTGATTCATTCTTGTTACTTTTCTGTTCCCCTCAGATAATAACAGCTGTGTCTGTGCTGTGTTTGGATCCAGTGTGAGTTCACGTGAATATTGTAAGAATCCAGCTCTGGTCTTGGGCTCTGGTTGTGACAGTAAAACATCCACTTCAGTCACTGTCAGTGAGACGTTTGTCCATTTGTCCCTCAGAACGTCCTGTAGTTTATCTCTGAGCTCTGACACAGCCGCTGTCACATCCTCAAAGTACCTCAGAGGACGGATATTGATGCTGGATGTAGATTCACTGAGTGCTGACAGTGAGGGGTAGTTGTGTAGAAACTGGGTGTGGTCCTCTGTGTGTGACAGCTTCTTCATCTCAGCGTCTTTCCTCTTCAGCTCAGTGATCTCCTGCTCCAGCTTCTCCTGAAGCTCTTTGACTCGACTCACTTCAGTTTCCTGCTGGGATCTGACCTGCTGCTTCACATCAGAGCTTCTTTTCTCCATGAGACGGATCAGCTGAGTGAAGATCTTCTCACTGTCCTCCACTGCTTTATCAGCAGAGCGATTGATAGCCTCCACCTCCCGTTGAAGCTCCTTCACATCTTTCTCTCTGTCCTGGATTCTCTGCTGGATGTTTTGTCGACTCACCTCGAGCTCTCTCTGCCTCTCAGTCCTTTCTGCTGCAGCTGAGACTGTGTCGTGGCCTTTATGTTCATCCACAGGGCAGAGATAACAGATACACTGCTGATCAGTACGGCAGAACATCTTCATCACCTCATCATGACGAGAGCAGATGTTCTCCTGGAGCTTCTTGGAGGGGTCCACCAGCTTGTGTTTCTTAAACTGAGCCACATCATAATGAGGCTGGAGGTGTTTCTCACAGTAAGAAACCAGACAGACCAGACAGGACTTGAGGGCTTTCAGTTTTCTCCCAGTGCAGAAATCACAGGCCACATCTTCAGGTCCAGCATAGCAGAGATCAGCAGGAGCAGCTTGGAGTCCAGTCTTCTTCAGTTCCTCCACTAAAGCTGCTAACATGGTGCTTTTTACCAGGACAGGCCTCGGTGTGAAGGTCTGCCTACACTGAGGGCAGCTGTGGATTTTCTTCTCATCCTCTTCAT